GGATCATCCAAAGCCCAGGATACGACAGTCCAAACATCCAAACCTGAGGGTATGACAGTCCAGGGGATCATCCAAACATCAAACCCAAGGAGTTGACAATCCAAACCTGAGGATCAACAATCCAAACATCAAAACCCGAGGGTGTGACAATCCCAGGGATCATCCAAACCCAAGAATCAACAATCCAAACATCCAAACTCATTGGAGGATCTGACAATCGCAGGGTTCATCCAAACGTGAGGATCAACAATCCAAACATCCAAACTCAAGGATCTGACAATCCAAACATCCAAACCCAAGGATCTGACATTCCAGGGGATCCTCCAAACCCCAGGTCTGACAATCCAAACATCGAAACCAGAGGGTGTGACAATCTCAGGGATCATCCAAACCTGAGGATCAACAATCCAAACATCCAAAACAGAGGATTGACAATCCAAGGGCTCCTCCAAACCCAAGGATCCAACAGTCCAAAGGATCACCCAAACCCAAGGATCTGACAATCCAAGGATCATCTAAACGCTAGGATCCAACATCCCAGGGATCATCCAGATCTGAGGATCTGACAATCCAAACATCCAGACCTGAGGGTCTGACAATCCAAGGGAACATCCAAACCCAAGGATCAACAACCCAAACATCCAAACCCGAGCGAGGATAGACAATCCAAACATCCAAACCTGAGGATCCAGCAATCCAAACATCCAAATCCAAGGATCCAACAGTCCAAAGGATCATCCAAACCCAAGGATCAACAATCCAAACATCCAAAACTGAGGATTGACAATCCAAACACCCAAACCCAAGGATCCAACATCCCAGGGATCATCCAAACCCAAGGATCTGACAATCCAAACATCCAAACCCAAGGATCAACAATTCCAGGGGTATCCAAACCTGAGGGTCTGACAATTCAAGGGAACATCCAAACCCAAGGATCAACAATCCAAACACCCAAACCCAAGCAAGGATTGACAATCCAAACATCCAAATCCAAGGATCCAACAGTCCAAAGGATCATCCAAACCCAAGAATCAACAATCCAAACATCCAAAACTGAGGATCAACAATCCAAACATCCAAACCCAATGGAGGATTGACAGTCCAAACATCCAAGACCAAGGATCCAACAGTCCAAGGGATCATCCAAACCTGAGAATCCGACAGTTCAAAGGACCATCCAAACCCAAGGATCAACAATCCAAATGTCCAAACCCGAGGGAGGATTGACAATCCAAACTTCCAAACCCAAGGATCCAACAGTCCAAAGGATCATCCAAACCCAAGGATCCACCAATCCAAACATCCAAACCCAATGGAGGATTGGCAGTCCAAACATCTAAACCCAAGGATCCAACAATCCAAGGGATCACCCAAACCCCCTCATTCCTCCACCCACACAGGAAGGATCTCTCCCCACATGGTGGGATCTCAGGGGTTTAATCCCAATCCCAACACGCGATTCCCACCTGGCTGAGAGAAGCCAGGAGCAACAAATCCATCCCCAGCATGGATGATCGGGAGTGGGAATATTCCTGAATCCCACCGAGGCAGGAGGTGGAGAAACATCCCCTGTGCCACCTTTGGGGTCCTCCCAGCCAGGACTGGGGTCCCAAAACATCTCCCCCWCTTTGTATTTTAAGGTATCATTGGGATTTTCAAACATCCATGGAAAAGAAAATCTGTTTCTCCCATCTCCCAAAAGGACAAAAAAAGTGTTCCACAAATTGAGCAAATCCAGTACAAATTGTTCATCCTGTGCYGTTCCCAAATTCTCTTTTATTTTCAAAAAGAGGATCCAAAAATCACCAGCTGAGCCAGGGCCACCCCGCTGGCCATGGGTGACATTGGGTGGCCAAAGGTCCCTCATCCAACCTTCCCTTCCAGCTTAGGGTCCAACATTCCAGCATGATAAAYTAATTAAATTATTATWATAATAATTATTSTAATAATTAAACCCCTTTGACTYGCTCACTGCAAGGAACTCTCAGCGTTTTGTGCAGGTTCAAAAGTTTCAGCTCMAATTAAGCCGAGCTTGGTAAAACCATTCTTATATCAAAATAAGAATTAAAATAAGATTAAAATAAATCACCTTTGCAAGGGGCAAGGGTTTCTAAGTTCCCCTCTCCCACAAACCCAACCAATTTCCAACTACTTCAAAACTCAAAAAAACCCAGGAATTATTTCTAATTTTCTCATTTCTGTTCTAGGTTTTCATCAGCCACTGGGGAAACGTTTCAAGCCATTTCATAATTTCCTTTTTATGATTTGAATTTATTTTTTCCCCCATTTTTTTTCCATGCAGGGCTGGTTCACAGAAGGTGATTCCACACCCCAGCCCTGGGTGGCACCTCCAGTGCAAGGCCAAGTAGTGACCAAAGTTCCTGTCTGGTGAAAATCCTCAAGGGATAAAACCAAACCCAAAAAAACCCCAAAACCAGAAACYCCAAAYGAGCCTAAAAACCCAAYCTCCTTCCCCTGAGCAGCCCCAAAACYGAACAAATAACCCAAAGCAAGATTTACAACAAGGCAGCTTTGGTTTATCCCCGTGAATTCCTCCACAAATGTCAGAATTTTGGGATAATTTGGGAATTTTCCGGTTTTTGATGGCATTTTCCCTGCCGTGACCCGCTCCTGCCGTGGGATGGCTTTGATGTCATGGGCTAAAATTAAAACCTCTCCTGCTTGTGACTCTCAGCAGCACCAGGGAGAGCAGGGAAGGTTTTTCCCGACAAAACTCATCCCCTTCCCACCCGAGCATCCCAAAAGCGCTCCGGGGAGAAGCCATTCCGTGTGCCCACACACACACGGCCGTGACGACGCCTCAATTCCCCATGCCGGGGATAATTTAAAGCAAATTCAACTCAATTAGATACAAATTCCACGGATCCTGACCCTTTTCCAGGTTTGGGCAGGGGGCAGCCCCTGATTTTGGGGATGCTCCGGGAGCAGCCCAAATTCTGCCTGTCATCCCGGGAGATTCCGGCAGCACCGGGGYTGGAGCAAGGAAGGCCCTGCTGCTGCCACCAACGGGCCAGAAATCCCCCAAAATTCAATATATTCTGCTCTCCTAGGCCCTGCAGGATCCATTCTGCTGAGAAAAAAAAAAAAAAAAAAATCAAATCCGACTGATCCTTCCCCTGCATCCTGCTGCAGGAGGAATCAAAAAATATAAATAATAAGGAAGAGCTTTACATACGGCCGAGACAGACGACAGAGGATAAAATTGCTGTCGTGCCCAGAGGCTTTTCCCACACGGGATCAGACACGGCCTCCCCGAAGCACCTTGTGCCCAGAGCCCATATTCCCTCCTCATTTCCTTTTGGATGCCAACAAACCCCAATCCAGCATCTCCTCCTCCTTCCCCGGGCCTGCATCTCCACGACACGGCCAAAAATAAAAAAAAAAATTAAAATTTAAAATAAAAACCACCTCGAGTCGCAATTTTTTCGTTTGCCACTGAAACGATGCTCGCCCATGCTGGGAAAAGCATCACATCCCCTCCATCGGCTCCAGCCGGGCGTGCTGCTCCCCCCCGGCTCCATCCTCTGTGCAGCACGTCAGGATGAGGAGAAAATAATCCTTGAAGGATCCAAATCGCGGCGGATCCAGCCCGGGCTGGGCGGGAGGAAGCGGCAGCTCCGTGCGAAACCGGGCGTTCGCACAGCCCGAGCTGCCTACACAGGGCTGRCGATGGAATTGCAAATAATCTGATGGGCTCGATATTATATCACCACCCCGGAGCCCGGCGGAGCCTCGGATTGCTCGGGATTAGGGGGAGGGGAGGGTTGGGTTTAATTATTAATTATGGTTATTATTATTTTCTTTAAGGGGAGGATAAAAAACCCCCGGGCGCGGGTTCGGTGCCTCCTCCTCGCGAAAGGCGGGCGAGCCCGGAGGAGGAAGGCGCCGGGCTCATCACCTTACCTTCCATCATGGTGGCAGAATTGCATTCCTCAATTTCCGAGGAGCCTGGAAAAACACAGGAGAAGACGATGGCGGTCAGCAGGGGAGGCTCGGCGGCGGCAGGAGGCGGCGGCAGCGCGGCGCTACGGGCAGGCCATGGATGCTCGGAGCCTGTATCACCTCCAGGATGGCATCGCGGAGGATGCTGAGAGAAAGGGAGGACGAGGCGGGCTCGGCGCCTCCCGCCCCGCACCGCCTCACATGCGCGCTCGCTCCCGACACACCCCCCGGGAACGCTCCAACCTATTTCCCAGATTTTTTTTTTATTTTTTTTT